CTCAGAAGGGTGAGCTGTTCCTAAGCTAATATTCCGCGATATATGGTCTCACCATATCCTAGAATTCGCTCAGATCTGCAAGGCAGTGGCTATCGGTTTCGCAGTGATTGGTTTTATTGGTTACTTTGTGAAACTTATCCATATCCCAATGTAAGCTCATTATACATGGCAGTTCACTCAATTTTGAGCCATTATGATTTATAGTAATAACATCCTCGTGTACGTATATTTTTCAAGCAAGGCAACTGATGACTGAGATTGAGGTCTTTCCAGAGGAGGAGCCTGACGGGGGATTTCACTTGTGTATTATAAAAAGCTCTTTCTACTGGATATATATACATATGAGCAGGATTGATGAAGTGCTTGCTTTGTGCCTAGCCTTGCTGGAGTGCGTACTTATACCTCGCCTCAAAGAACCAACAAGCGCTTTGTGTTGTATTAAGACCTCGGGAAGTCAGCCGTTCAGTGAACGCTTCTTGAGTGGTCTCTCCATGGACTGTTAAGAGTTAGTTGCTCAACCAGTCAGTTGTCGCTGTCCCTGGCTATTTCATCCATAATTTTGAGACACTCCTTTCCCCTCTAATGTATATCCAACTTACTCCCCGTGCTTGGCTTCCCGATGCTCACAATACAAGTCCTACTTCAGCCTCGAGAGCACTCACATCTGGTCGAATAGGAGGCCCTGCCGCCCTCTCAGTATCCGATGTCAAACCCAATATCTCAGGCTATGTCATCATCGGTATCGTCCTTACCATCCTCGTACTCGTGCTCGTAGGAGTATTCATGGTTCGGCGCTGCGGGGCTCATCGCTTGTTTGGATGGATGTACAAGAAGAGAACTGCCAAAACAGCGGGGAGTTCATCGGCAACACTGAATGGTTCAGAGAAGGGTCCAGTGCCCCAGATGTCTTCTCGCACAGGGATAATCCGCGTCCCTCCCCCGACTCACACTCGAAGCCCCGCTATCCCCGCCCAACGTGAATTCGGCACCCTTCCAGTCGGCAACAGCGGGGAGTCATCGAAGGGTCGGGCAAATGACTCTTCGTTGTCGTACGCATCTGTGAATTTCGGATGTGTATTTTTTGATCTCGCAGTCTCACTGATTGGCTTAACGAATAGAACAACGGCGTCGCGAGGCAAGCGCATCAGGGAACATCCATTGAGCTTCCTGTGACGGACTTCGTGGCCCCTACCTCACATCATAAGCATTTCTTCGATGAACGTTTCCTGACGGCGTCGTCGATATCCTCGAATCGCACCATTCGTCCCCATGGGATACCGGTATGTCATCGGCATATTTCTGCCTGCAACAACTATAATCGTTGCTTGTCTACAGCTCACTCCCGTCCCCGAGGATGCGTCTGCCATCTTTTCCCCGTACTTCGAAGTAGACGAACAAACGCTATACGGCAACTCTCAGAATTCATTGATACAGCATTGATACCCTCGTCCCATCATCACATAGACTTATATGCATCGCTTCCTATGCACAAACAAATTATGGTTATCCTACTGCATCCTTTAACAATCGACTACATTAGCTTGTTCTTTCCCATTATATGCGCCTTTGTGTGCCTGTATATCTTCTGGTTTGTGCCTTTAGAAGCTGCATTGGCTGAGATCTTACGGCATCGACTATAGACAGCTACCAATATTCAACTCTCAACCTTGGCTAGATTTGCAAGATCCGTCTGTGGCATCAGGGCGGAATGGCAGAATCCAGCGATTCGAATAATACAGGTACAAGTAGCCCTGTCCATTATCGGGAATTATCCGAGCTGATCAACTTGCGCGATCTGATTAGCACAGCATTCGAATCCATCGATATTCTCTGTTTCTTGCATTTTGGTCAAGATCCGAGTCACTAACACTGGCATAATAACATGGGAGAAATGAATAATTACACATATTGAGTGAGCAGCAGCCACAAACTCGGAAAGTTCAGGGGTGACTCTAAGGACTCGGTATGGTTGTACTGTCTAGTTTTATCGGGGTAAATGACAACGGCTTCGAAAGCTCAGATCAGTGTGTAGCTTGAGGCAAGCCACATTGTTGCCCTCCGCGCTATAAACATGAGCTTCGATGGTGTGGTTTCCTGAAAGTATAAAAATATAAGTGGCAAACGGGGCAGGAGCAGGGGAGGACCCACTATTCATCAGGTTTTCAGGCAGATCAATATGCAGGGTAATATCGTTAAAGCCACCTTGCTGAAACGACGAAGAACATTTTGCAGGACTAATTTCCGAATAAGTCACCACAAAATAAATAACTAGCCTTTCTCACGATCGCTTGCGCATATTCCGCTTTACGGTTGCGGGAGACTTGTCTCTAAGACAGGCACCATTTCTCATGGTCATCCCCTGCACACATTAATGATATTGGTCGCGTTATGAGAATACGGGGTTATACCATAACATCCATCCTAATTTTACCCGTTACATTGAGAACGACGTTCGCCCTCTGCTCTGTAAAGTATAATCCACTTTCTGTGGCGGCAGCTACGGAGTCTACATGCATGATCATATCGGATGTCGCTGGTGATTAAAACTGCAGTCAGGCTCCGACGCATTTGCAGGATCAGCCCCATAGCGGAAATAAGACACACTGCAGTCGTCCCATGCCCACTCCGCATGGGCATGGCATCCCTCGAGCGCGGCGCCCAGCTTGGGGAGGAGCCAGCTGTTGCCAACGACGGCACCGAAAGATGCTCTTGCGTGGAACAGAAGCGCTGTGAGCAGAAGCAGCTTGAGACTGGCGGACATGGGGGGATTACAGTCAATACGAATGCAACTGTGGGAGAATGGCCGTTTTATCAGTGAAGCTAGCCAAACCCTCCCTGCTACGAGGGTAACCCGACAGCCCCAAGCGGTCACTGGCACCAGCCAGTTAGGTGGTGTAACACTTTCAATCATCATGGTCCCCTGTTCAGGAAGGCCCCACTCTACAAGATTTTAAAACACCATCCGAGTAAACATGCTACCATGCTAGTGTTGGAGCATTCAAGTGCCGTCCGGTTGTATGCTACTTGTCGAATGTCTTAATGTGGTACCCCTCACTCCTCGCTCACAGACCTGGGGAACCAAGTTGGACAAAAGACGTAGAGCTCATGTCAGACCTCAATACAGAGACGTATTGGTCCAGGTTATGGTCAATATTAACCATTCCCTCTCTTATGATGAAGGTCTTGTTCAGAGGTTCAGTTTACTGCCAATAATGGGAGAGCCAGCTGCAAGCAAGACGGAATTCATCGGCAAAGAACGTAGCTCACAAACACAAAAGAGAAAAGGGCCAGAGCCAACAACTAATGTGCGCGCAGGTAAATCCCATGTAAAAAATGCCGTCCGGATTAAAAATTCCGTTACGAAACAGGTGATACAGTGCCCCATCTAGCGATTACAAGTACAACCATCACAAATAAGATTTCAGATAATAGCGCAAAGAGGCAACGTTTTGCCCATCTGATGATACAAACAATGGGTATGCAATCAGTAATGCAGGGGGATACTCCTGGATAGAGCACACCTAAGTTCAGTTTCTCGAATGATTTTACACGTCCATTCCACTTCGGCACTCGTCTTCCCTACTTCCCAATCAGGCGTCGGCCGGAGCGGAGTAAAGATGATGGCCAAGCCGACCAGCCAAAACGCAGGAAACCCTTTTCGCGAGAAAATCAGAACACGAGTGCGACGATGCGATGTTAAGGACGCCTACAAAATCCGTATAAAAACAGCGCCCGCGCCAGCGTTTTCGGCTCTGCGACGGTGTATACACCGGGCTCTGTCGGGTGCGCCACAATAGCGCGTCCAGGCGGGATGTCAAGGTCGATATCCACGTCGGAAGCCGTCGATATCGACGCCTGGTCGTCATCGCGGTATCGCGGCTCGGTTTTGAGCCGTAAAGGCAAGACGAACGTTGTCCGCTGCGAATCGGGCGCACGTGGGGTGTCCGGGTACGCAACGTGGGGCAGTTTCTGCTCCACGATGGCCGTGCATTGCAATAGTGCAGGTTTCGATTTTTCTGCGCATGGAGCGCTGAATGATGGGTATGACGGAGGGATGTCCGTTGTTGTTTCTCGTGTGACGAAGACCTGCGTGGGGTGATAAGGGAGTGCTGGTGTGAATGTGGGCTGAGGGGTGCGTCGGTGGAAAAAGGAAACGATCGTCGACAGGAGGGATGGTGCTGGAGCGTAGTTCATTTCCGCTGCTGGAAACTGAGATGAATATAGGAGTACAGGAATAAAACTGTAGAGCGATAGCGAGATTATAGATACAGACAGAGATACTGGAGCAACAGACAGCTAGAGCGATATAGCAGATAGTGGGAGACGGGCGATAAGTGTGAACCAGTGCATTCTGTGAGTTATAAGCATCGAGTTGCTTTTGTTCCTGTAGTAGACAACAATGGGGCAATATGCGTCGGCACAAGGAGAACAAAAGGACCTATTTTCGGGGCTTCTCAGAGCTTGGCTTTGTAGGTCCTTGCTTTCAAGCAGTTCCCACGAACGGGGAAGTCTTCCCAATATTCTATATGCAACTGTCCCAGATTGAATTGCACTCACTCGAAGAAATTAATATTATAAAGGCAAGAGATAAATTATTAAGAGCTTTCCCAATGAAAAAATGTGTCTTAGAACACAGCTACAGGTTTAGCACAAGATTCATAGATACTTTGCGAGACTAGAGATTGCACTGTGAATATTATGCCAGCTCGTCTGCGCTGATACTCAGGGAGCCACAGAGAACGAGGGTGAGCAGCATCCTCAAAGCACAGCGAAGAAAGCGTCCTTGTCGAGTTTTAGGGAATAGTACCATCAGCATCTGCAAACTTGATAGATTGTAAAAAAACGCTCTCTCTTTATCCAAACACTTTAACACGAAAATGTTTCGAATTAATTTATTAGAGGTGTTGCCGCTGAGGGAAAAAAACATTAGCATTCCAGGAGGAAGACGCCCAAGGGAGGATGAAGAGGAAGAGACGCCCAGTGAATATGGGGAAAAAAAAGGGCTTCGTCGGGAATTGAACCCGAGACCTCGCCCAGTAGCTTCACCGTTGCCGGCAAAGTCCCTAAGGGCGAATCATACCACTAGACCACGAAACCTGTTAGGTAGGCTCTTAAGTAAAACTTATTCTACTCGACAAAACCATTTTCTCCCATCACTCTAATCCAACGACAACTTTTTAATACACCAGGTTTGAACTGAAAACATCGATTTATGTTGTTAACTCGAGCCGGTCAAAGTTACTTTCTTATTATATATTACCATTTGAGTAGTTACGAGTCAGCCGTCAACAGACTGAGGACTGCGCCCTATAGGTCCAACAGTATTATGTGCACAACGGCCGGGAGTTATATTTTTCTACAAACTCTGAAACATTTATGGGCATACAGGAAAAATGCTTTCAATCTCCTAGTCAAAATGCTGCGATTAAGGGAACTATTGTGCACTGGCAGCCAGCATTCATGACACCGACGACACAAAATATTCCTGTCAGGTGCCGTCCACGAACTGCCAGAAGCACGAAACTGGATCTGCCCAACTGGAAGTGCTTCCTGCACTGGGTTCCCCTTCATTATTGATCATATAAGAGTTTTCACCATGGCTTGAAGTGGATGGGCAATAATTCCTGGAAAAGGAAAAAGGATGGCATAATGTTCAAGTTGTCGGAGGATACTATCTGTACATCGTGGCTTTAAGAAAATACTTTTCCCAATCACCTGCCAAGTCAGGAGCAAAGGCAGATAGAGAGTGTTTGACGAAGAGCGGGAAAGAACAGACCCCCTGAAGAATTCGGGTTTCCGTTACCCCGGTCTTGGTTAAAACTGTCCCCCGGCCGGTGAAACTAACAGATAGAGCATACACAGGGCATTCCCGATATAGAAAACTTACGTGTTGAAAGCTCGCAATTCCCGATCGCCTGCAGTGTCTAACTGCTACCGACAGACTACGGAATGGAAAATCCCGCAGCAGCTAGTTGTCTCTCCTGAGACGTCATACATTCGACGGTGATGTTTGCTATCGTCGCAGTACTCTGCAAGTCAGCCTGACCATCCGCCAGGTCCACATCAAAAATAGGAAGGCCAGAGCCTATGGGCAGTCGCAGTCTCTGAAATCTATGCATGAAAATCCACCAAAATAAGAGCGCAGCCTTTGGATCGAGGAAGTCGTCCTCCTGACCTTACTTAGATTGCGCGTTTCGTCACGTAATAATCAAGACCGTACATATGCGCCGCCGAAAGTCTCCGAGGGCAATCAAGAAAGCGTGCCTGCCGTCAGTCGTTGTTGTCTATTGTTCCTTCAGATTCCCAGGACAAGAAAACACCAGCTCAGGAAAAGCATCAAAACAGACCATCTTGCCGCTGGAGCAGGCACGTGTGGTCCCCTAAGACGATGATAACGAGGAGGAGGTCGCAGTTGCTTGGGCATCAATCCATCTGTAGAATTGGAAAGGATGACATTTGACTGCGACCCCGAAACCCCACGCCAAAAACAAAAAAAAACAAAACAAAACAATCCACATAGACCATGGCTGATATCCTCTCCCTCAACGGTTTGCGCAAGAGCTTCAAGGCAACAGGTGCCGACAAAATCTCACCGCCGAAACCGCTGACCCTCCCCGCACATCAGGCTGCGCCGGCGCAGACAAAACACGAGCCCATCCAGCCGGGGAGCAAGCCAGTGGTCCCGAATCTAAAATCGCAAAGCTGACGTCCACCGTCCAAAAATCAGCCACCCTCTGCGCTCCTGGCGGCTGCACATGCACATGTGGGAGGAACGCAAACAGGGGAAAGACTACGGCCTGCCGCGGAGGAGGCTTCTCGAGTTTGGTTCCTATCATAAGCGCAGGACACGCACAGATACCATCTACTGTGGATGTCGTCAGAGCGCGTCAACACCACGCCAACGTCCTTCACGGTCGACCCGTGACTGATTATCCCCGTGGTTGATTTCGATCTGTACAACGTGTCATACGTGTAATAGCTAACCTGCGCAGGCCGTATTGATCGTCGCACGATAGGGAATGATAAGATGATGTGTGTGGATCAACCAGGCTTGAATGGCTGTGTAGCGACAGGACAAATGGAAACTGCGGAACCGTCCTGCAGCACATCCGCCAAAACGTCACCTACTTATGGGCAGCATTCACACCAAACAACTGATCCATCTAATCCCTGCGTCGGTCGGCAAGATCAGTTAAATATATATGAGCGCTGTTACCGCATACATACACATGTTAAAATCAAAGATTTGATGTACGCAACAATGTTGACAGGGAAGAAAGGGGGAAATCCATACTAATGGATCTTCAGTGCCCAGGACGACGACAATGGGCGCTCACTTAGTACTCCGTATCAACTTGACATCGTGCGAGATCTTGTGCAACTGGAACAATCATATAACCACTTTAAGCAAGTCTATGGCAAGCAACCGTGACAGCTTAAATCCTATCATAGAGCATAAACATTTCATTTGATATCCACAAACTAAAGGCATGTACACTGCGCACAACAAGTAATTCGATTTCATGAAACAAAGCAATGGCTGAGAAAAGACTTGGAAGCAGGGGGAAAGAAGGAAAGAGATATGGGGAATTCCAAGAGTTAAAATGAACGTCGACGTTACGTACGAATAGATAATGCAAGACATGGTGGAAAAGGATATAGAGTGATTATCAAGAGGAAACTGGCCAAACGCAGGCAGAAGGTGTTCCAATAGACGATGAGGGTAGAGGTGATATAACGACCACACTCGTCACTGGGTACAGAAAGGGTGGCAATCGATCTGGACGGGACGAAGGTGAGGCACGGGGGAATCCATGGTGCAACGCACACAAGTGTTGCAACTGAAAAAGTCGATTAGTAAACCAGGGTGGAACGTCGCAGGTGAGAAGTAGCCATACCCGAAGGGCGTATGAGAGGAATCAGCCTTTCATAGAACGGAAACAATAGAAACACATCGTTTATTTGACATCGGCGCACTCGCAGTTGGGCTGCTTGCCGATCCAGCCTGCACCACAGTCATCACACCAGCTTCGAGCACCTTGGGAGACGCCAATGACGATCGACTCATCCCGGTGGATGGAGACGAGATGGCGGCCAAGATCATGCTTGCGGCTGAAGGAGCGGCCACAGGATCTGTGGGGGCAAATGTGGGGCTTAAGCCTGTTAGGGTCGTGAGTCTGCTGGTGGGTCTTTAAATTGTAGGCACGGGCGAACGCTGTGAAGTAAGGGAATCGTTAAAATGAATGTGGGGTGGTAAGGATGGTGGAGGTGACAAACCTCGGGGACAAGAAGGACATTTGTACTTCTTGCGAGAGTCATTAGCCTCTGTGAGCTGCTCATGCTGGCGTGAGGAAGAGGCGGCACTGTTGTTGGATGGTGTAGGTGAGTTTCCCATGTTGTTGGTGGCAGTGTGGGCTTGGCAAGCTGGGACCAAATTGCTCGGAGAAATAGTAGACTGAGTCGCAGCCAAGGATTTATGGTTATATACGGCGGCGGGGTAATAATCATTGGATTGGGACGACTGCGCCGCTACGGCTGCGGCCAAAGCTGCGGGCGTCAGATCATCATGGAATGAGCTGCGACGAGTGGCATCGGTAGGAGAAACGTAAGTGAGGGAAAAAAGGTCGTTTCCATTCGTATCGTTTGCCAACTTGGGTAAACTATTGATGTTTGCATCTGGCTCATCCTTGACGGCGGCGCTCAGCTTAACTTTGGCCTCTGCGGCGGCAGCGTCAACATCGACGGAGAATTTAGAGAAGTCGATGCCGAGATCGACGTGGTAATCCGTGTTAGCGGTTTCAAACTCGGAGAAATTGTAGAGGGACTCTGAATGAGAAGAATAAGAGTCGTAGGTGGATTCTGAGGAGACGGTAAAGGTAGAGGGGGGGCCACACCGAGGGGTGTCCGAACGGACAAAGGCGTAGGGGTCGCTGAGCTCTATGTTAAGAAGCTGGAGCTGCTCCTGGTCGCCCTGTGGGAGAGCGATGATAGAAGAATCGAGTTCCAACTCAAACAGGTCTGGGTGGGGCGCGTGTACGTCGCCTGGGCTAGTAGGCGGGAAGGAGAGCCAGTCAAGTGGGGAAAGCTTGAGACTCATTGTTGTTGTTGGTGGTGGTGACGGTGACGGTGACGGTGGTTGTAGTCAAAAACGCGGATGGGAGCAGGAAACAAGGTTGTGAGGGGACGAGAGTTGTGAGAAAGGTTGAGATATGTATGAAGGTAATCGTTGTTTGCGAGTGTTTGTGCCCGCAGCAGGACCTCATTAATCATCTCTGATTTCAATCCGGTATCCGTGCGTCTCCGATTAATAAGAGCGTTCACATTGGTCAATAAAGCCGGCCGAACGCCATTGGGTATGTGAATTGAACTTGAGCTTGGCTTGGGCCTTGAGCACTGCTTGTTTATTGTTTGAGTTTACCTTGGGCATTGAGCATTGCTTGTTGAATATTCCTTACTTTGGAAGACGACGAAGACGACGAAGACGACGACAACGTACGCCATCAGGAGCCCCAATCATGTCGATGGCCGCAAATCCGTCCGATTCCCAAATGGTACAACTTAATCCCTAACCATCGCTTCCCCTTGTCCCAAAACCGTAGCGATAAGTCCTATCATCAGGTTGTATCAAAGTATCGTTCGTATATAGATTCGTCTCACTGTCGCAATGAATTATCATCGCGTTGTCCGTTCGAGGTTGAAACTTCCAATACACACTGCCTATCATGCCTTCTGGCGCCAACGAATAGTCCACGATGTCAAATGGACATACATTCCCATTCGTGTAGTAGCGCGGAGCACCACTCCATCTACGCTCATGACGCTCTAGTGATGTCAAATGGACATACATCCCCACCAGATGCATAGCGTTTTCGTCGTCAACCTCCGATTAATTCCCTTGAAAAGATCACCCGAGCCTTGCACAAGATGCCTGTTCTCATGACATCCTTCGTTCACACGCCGACTTTAGGCTTTCGCTGATATCCAATACAAATCAGGCAAAAAAATTTGATGGCAGAAGGCGCGCGCTAAGTTCAGGATAGTCAATCCTGTGCATGCCTGATCACAGATCTTGTTATTCAACCCAGACACCGCCATTC